GAAACCTATATTGTTTTTGCTCGAGACGTCAAAAAAAAAATTCCTTTTTTATTTATTAGGCCCGAGCCCCGAACGGGGTAAGGGCCTATTGCTTTCACAATGGTGAAAACAAATGGTGGCGGTGCGTGACGGACGCGTCAGCGCCCGTCACTCGCCAAAACGTGACGGTTGCGTGCGTAAACTCAAAAGCTTTAAAATGATGTATCACGTGCCATTGAAACCTATATTGTTTTTGCTCGAGACGTCGAAAAAAAAATTCCTTTTTTATTTATTTCTTTCTTTCTTTCTTTCTTTCTTTCTTTTTTCTTCTGCACTTTGAGCCTTAATTTGACCCCCTGAATATGCATGAAAAGTTGTTAAATTTTGCCCAAAAATCAGACCTGGCGAAAAATTTGATATTTTGGTGTTTATTTTAATGGGACTCAAAAAATGCCAGAACAGCGCCACCTACAACAGCCAAAATAATACCCCTATGGGAGTTCTGAAGATCAAGTTTGTTGTAGAGTCATGAAATTCGGTACACATGTTCCTCAAGTCAAGACAAGAAAAAAATATTATTATGGCTCCGCCCTCTGACAAACAGGAAGCCCATAAATGTCACTGCAAAATGGAAAAATGAACAGCAAAAGTTTTCATACATGTCGGTTGGAAAGCGACTCCTCCTCGGCCGTTTCACCGATTCGCCTCAAAATCGCTCCACATCATCTCAACACATGTACCTTCAAAATGACCTCGGGGATTTTTGATCAGTGAAACATTGTTCGAGCAGCGGAGCGGCAAAATGTGACCTTTTTTTGGCCGTTTTTGACAACATTAAATTTGCTCCCGTTTGCACAAACAAAGTCTGATTTTCACAAAACTTTAATACATTGTTCAACTCTAGGGTCTAGGTCATTTGAAAGTTAAATGATTCAAATTGACACATTAGCGCCCCCTACAGACTATTTCAAAGTTTTAAATGGGCATTTTCAAATTTAGTTTTTTCAAAATGTTTGAAATTTTGCACATACATCTGTTTTGCCCTCTTGATTCAAAAAGTCAATTGGGTCCAAGGCTTATTTTTTACCCTGTTGCCGTGGCGACGACAAACGCTCCCCATTCATTGCAAATATACACCTCACACAAACATCAAACCAGCCTCGGCCGTTTCACCGATTCGCCTCAAAATCGCTCCACATCATCTCAACACATGTACCATCAAAATGACTTCAGGGAATTTTGATCAGTGAAACGTTGTTTGAGCAGCGGAGCGCCAAAAAGTGGCGTATTTTTTTTCAGTTTTTGACCATAGAAAAATTGCTTCCGTTTGCACAAACAAAGTCTGATTTGCACAAAACTTGAATCCATGGTTCAACTCTTGGGTCTAGGTCATTTGAAAGTTAAAATTCTGAAATTGGCTCTATAGCCCACCTACAACAGCCATATTAAAAATGCCTATGGGAGGGGTTTGAGGTCAAAATTGTCGTAGAACCATGTAATTTGGAACACATGTTCCTTAAGTCAAGACATGGGAAAAATGTTATTATGGCTAAGCCCCCTGACAAACAGGAAGCCCATAAATTTCATTGCAAAATGGAAACATGAAAACCAATCATTTTCATAAACGTTGGTTGGAAAGCGACTCCTCCTCGGCCGTTTCACCGATTGGCCTCAAAATTGTTCCAAATCATCTCAACACATTTACCTTCATAATTACTTCAGGGAATTTTAATCAGTCAAACGTTGTTTGAGAAGCGGAACGGCAAAATGTGAGGGTTTTTTGGCTGTTTTTGACAACATAAATTTTTTCCCCGTTTGCACAAACAAAGACTGATTTGCATTAAACTTGAATCCATTGTTCAACTCCAGGGTTTAGGTCAGGTGAAAGTGAAATATTTGAAATTAGCCCATTAGCGCCCCCTACAGACTGATTCAAAGTTTACATGGGGAGCCAAACCAGCTCTAATAATCATATTCATTACAATTTGACTAAGTTCTTCTATGGCTACGGGAACCAATCATCACACGGCGGCGCCACATCCTATGCGCGGTGCTACGTGGTACGGTGTGGTGCGGCGTAGTGCGGGGCGTTGTGGAGCGGTGCGTTGCGGCTTGGTGCGGGGCGGCTTGGTGCGGGGCGGCTTGGTGCGGGGCGGCTTGGTGCGGGGCGGCGTGATGCGGGACGGCGTGGTGCGGGGTGGCTTGGTGCGGGGCGGCGTGGAACGGGGTGGTGCGCGCGGTGCGGGGAGTCGCGCGGTGCGGCGAGGGCCGTTTGACGCCGCTTGCGGCTTTAATTTATTTCTTTCTTTCTTTCTTTCTTTCTTTTTTCTTCTGCACTTTGAGCCTTAATTTGACCCCCTGAACATGCATGAAAAGTTGTTAAATTTTGCCCAAAAATCAGACCTGGCGAAAAATTTGATATTTTGGTGTTTATTTTTATGGGACTCAAAAAATGACAGAACAGCGCCACCTACAACAGCCAAAATAATACCCCTATGGGAGTTCTGAAGATCAAGTTTGTTGTAGAGTCATGAAATTCGGTGCACATGTTCCTCAAGTCAAGACAAGAAAAAAATATTATTATGGCCCCGCCCTCTGACAAACAGGAAGCCCATAAATTTCACTGCAAAATGGAAAAATGAACAGCAAAAGTTTTCATACATGTCGGTTGGAAAGCGACTCCTCCTCGGCCGTTTCACCGATTCGCCTCAAAATCGCTCCACATCATCTCAACACATGTACCTTCAAAATGACCTCAGGGATTTTTGATCAGTGAAACATTGTTTGAGCAGCGGAGCGGCAAAATGTGACCTTTTTTTGGCCGTTTTTGACAACATTAAATTTGCTCCCGTTTGCACAAACAAAGTCTGATTTGCACAAAACTTTAATACATTGTTCAACTCTAGGGTCTAGGTCGTTTGAAAGTGAATTAATTCAAATTGACACATTAGCGCCCCCTACAGACTATTTCAAAATTTTAGATGGGCATTTTCAAATTTAGTTTTTTCAAAATGTTTGAAATTTTGTACATAAATCTGTTTTGCCCTCTTGATTCAAAAAGTCAATTGGGTCCAAGGCTTATTTTTTACCCTGTTGCCGTGGCGACGACAAACGCTCCCCTTTCATTGCAAATGTACACCTCACACAAACATCAAACCAGCCTCGGCCGTTTCACCGATTCGCCTCAAAATCGCTCCACATCATCTCAACACATGTACCATCAAAATGACTTCAGGGAATTTTGATCCGTGAAACGTTGTTTGAGCAGCGGAGCGGCAAAATGTGAGGTTTTTTTGGCTCTTTTTGACAACATTAATTTTGCTCCTGTTTGCACAAACAAAGTCTGATTTGCACAAAACTTTAATCCATTGTTCAATTCCAGGGTTTAGGTCAGGTTAAAGTGAAATATTGGAAATTGGCCCATTAGCGCCCCCTACAGACTGTGTCAAAGTTTACATGGGGAGCCAAACCAGCTCTACTTATCATATTCATTACAATTTGACTAACATTCTTCTATGGCTACGGGAACAAATCATCACACGGCGGTGCCACCTCCTTTTAGCGGTGCTGCGTGGTACGGTGTGGTGCGGCGTAGTGCGGGGCGTTGTGGCGGCGCGTTGCGGCTTGGTGCGGGGCGGCGTTGGTGCGGGGCGGCGTGGTGCGGGACGGCATGGTGCAGGGCGGCTTGGTGCGGGGCGGCGTGGTGCGGGGAGTGCGCGCGGTGCAGGGAGTCGCGCGGTGCGGCGAGGGCCGTTCGACGCCGCTTGCGGCTTTAATTATACTTGTTCTAGCCCAGGAAAACCTGGGAAAGAACAAGTTTGCTGTTGTTTGATGTCATATTTGACCCACTGAACATGCACGAAAACTTACAAAATTTTGCCACAAGTTCTGTTCTTGCAAACACTTTATTAATTTTGTGTTCCCTAGTAAGAGACTTCAAATTTGAAGTTGTAGGGGGCGCAATTGTAGTCTAATAAAGCCACCATTTGCACATACAAAGTCCGATTTGCACCAAATTTGAATTGGTTGTTCAACTTTTGGGTTTGGGTAAACTGAAAGTGTAAAACATCAAATTGAGGCATTAGCGCCCCCTACAGAATGTCATTTTCACACATGTTGGTTGGAAAGCGACTCCTCCTCGGCCTTTTCACTGATTTGCCTTAAAATCGCTCCACATCGTCTAAACACATGTACCATCATTTTGATTTCAGCGATTTTTGATCAGTGAAACGTTGTTTGAGCAGCGAAGCGCCAAAAAGTGGCGTTTTTTTTTTTAGTTTTTGACTATAGAAAAATTACTTCCGTTTACTCAAACAAAGTCCGATTTGCACAAAACTTGTTTTCATGGTTAAACTCTAGGGTGTAGGTCATTTGAAAGTGAAATAATTAAAATGCCAGAACAGCGCCCCCTACAACAGCCAATTTAATACTCCTATGAGAGTTTTGGAGTTCAAGTTTGCCGTAGAGCCATGAAATTTGGTACACATATTCCTCAAGGTAAGACATGAAAAAAATTTTATTATGGCCCCGCCCTCTGACAGACAGGGAGCCCATAAATTTCACTGTAAAATGGATAAACGAACAGCAATAATTTTCACACATGTCGTTTGGGAAGCGACTCCTCCTCGGCCGTTTCACAGATTCGCCTGAAAATTGCTCCACATCATTTCAACACATTTACCTTCAAAATGACTTCAGGGAATTTTTATCAGGGAAACGATGTTCGAGCAGTGGAGCGGCAAATAGTGACCTTTTTTGACGATAGAAAAATAGCTCTCGTTTGCACAAACAAAGTTTGATTTGTACTAAACTTGACCCGGTTGTTCTACTCCTGGGCCTGGGTCACCTGAAGGTGTAAAATATTACATTGGCTCTTTAGCGCCCCCTACATACCGAGCTAAAGCTTTACATGGGGAGCCAAACCAACGGATCAATATCACATACATTGGTCTATGGCTATGGTAGCAAATCATAGCCATAGACGGTGGCGCCACCTGCGGAGCGGCGAGTCACGCGGGGAGTCACGGGGAGGGGAATTGCGGGTTGCGGCGAGTTGCAGTGAGTTGCGCGGTACGGGGAATCGTAGCGGTGCGGGGAGTCGTAGTGCTGCGGGGAGTCGTAGCGCTGCGGGGAGTCGTAGCGGTGCGGGGAGTCGTAGCGGTACGGAGAGTCGTAGAAGCGCGCGGTGCAGGGAGTCGTAGCGGAGCGGGGAGTCGTAGCGGAGTGGGGAGTCGTAGTGGCGCGCGGTGCGGGGAGTCGTAGCGGTGCGGGGAGTCGTAGCGGTGCGGGGAGTCGTAGCGGTGCGGGGAGTCGTAGCGGTGCGGGGAGTCGTAGCGGTGCGGGGAGTCGTAGCGGTGCGCAGTGCGGGGAGTCGTAGCGGAGCGCAGTGCGGGGAGTCGTAGCGGAGCGCGGTGCGGGGAGTCGTAGCGGAGTGGGGAGTCGTAGCGGAGCGGGGAGTCGTAGCGGAGCGGCAAGGCGCGTGGTGCGGGGTGTCGCGCGGTGTGGCGAGGGCCGTTCGACGCCGCTTGCGGCTTTAATTAGGCCCGAGCCCCGAACGGGGTAAGGGCCTATTGCTTTCACAATGGTGAAAACAAATGGTGGCGGTGCGTGACGGACGCGTCAGCGCCCGTCACTCACCAAAACGTGACGGTTGCGTGCGTAAACTCAAAAGCTTTAAAATGATGTATCACGTGCCATTGAAACCTATATTGTTTTTGCTCGAGACGTCGAAAAAAAAATTCCTTTTTTATTTATTAGGCCCGAGCCCCGAACGGGGTAAGGGCCTATTGCTTTCACAATGGTGAAAACAAATGGTGGCGGTGCGTGACGGACGCGTCAGCGCCCGTCACTCACCAAAACGTGACAGTTGCGTGCGTAAACTCAAAAGCTTTAAAATGATGAATCACATGCCATTGAAACCTATATTGTTTTTGCTCGAGACAAGTCACAAAAAATTCCTTTTTTATTTATTTATTTATTTATTAGGCCCGAGCCCCGAACGGGGTAAGGGCCTATTGCTTTCACAATGGTGAAAACAAATGGTGGCGGTGCGTGACGGACGCGTCAGCGCCCGTCACTCACCAAAACGTGACGGTTGCGTGCGTAAACTCAAAAGCTTTAAAATGATGTATCACGTGCCATTGAAACCTATATTGTTTTTGCTCGAGACGTCGAAAAAAAAATTCCTTTTTATTTATTTATTATTAGGCCCGAGCCCCGAACGGGGTAAGGGCCTATTGCTTTCACAATGGTGAAAACAAATGGTGGCGGTGCGTGACGGACGCGTCAGCGCCCGTCACTCACCAAAATGTGACGGTTGCGTGCGTAAACTCAAAAGCTTTAAAATGATGTATCACGTGCCATTGAAACCTATATTGTTTTTGCTCGAGACGTTAACAAAAAAATTCCTTTTTTATTTATTTATTTATTTATTTCTTTCTTTTTTCTTCTGCACTTTGAGCCTTAATTTGCCCCCCTGAACATGCATGAAAAGTTGTTAATTTTGGCCCAAAAATCAGACCTGGCGAAAAATTTGATATTTTGGTGTTTTTTTTATGGGACTCAAAAAATGCCAGAACAGCGCCACCTACAACAGCCAAAATAATACCCCTATGGGACTTTTCGGAGGTCAAGTTTGTCGTAGAAACATGAAATTTGGTACACATGTTTCTCAAGTCAAGACAAGAAAAAAATATTATTATGGCCCCGCCCTCTGACAAACAGGAAGCCCATAAATTTCACTGCAAAATGGAAAAATGAACAGCAAAAGTTTTCATACATGTCGGTTGGAAAGCGACTCCTCCTCGGCCGTTTCACCGATTCACCTCAAAATCGCTCCACATCTATCTCAACACATGTACCTTCAAAATGACCTCAGGGATTTTGGATATGGATTTGCACGTGGATGCCGTGACCATAGAACGATAGAACCGGGAAGCGCAGAGGAACGGGACTTTCTTTTGGATGGCTGTCTCGCTGTGTAAGCAGTAACCGGTGACGAAGACACACGAAGCTTCAGGTTAGCTCCGCCACTTGTTGTGCTAACTCAGCCGTCTGTGCTAACAGGGACCTGTAGATTTCTTACGAAAGTGGGGGCTAGTGGTCCGCTGTGATTGGTCACAATCTGCGACCCGAAACACATTCTCTTCCTTGTTTCATCAAAACTCAATCTAAAATATTATGTTACGCCAGTACAAATCTGCGCTACTTTTTCTTCAAAAGGACGTATATCCCAATGCACTACATGGACATGGATAGCATTTTCGTTATGAATACAAAAATAAAGTCAGTTAGTGCAGCTTTAACTCACTGACTGCCAGGCATTTTCAGATTTGAGAAGTGCGTTCTGCCAGCAATTTCAGGTGATTTGACCCAACTTTGAAGTGCCACAGAATATTCATTTTTTAGACGATGTAAACACCAAGGGCACCAAATTAAAGATTAACCTCTCTGCTTTACTCTGAAAAAAACAGTTTGTTTCTACCTCTTACCGTTCTTGAGTTATTCGCCATAGAACAAAGCATACTTTCACCCATAACACCTGGTCTGAGCAAGAAAACAGAGAAAACGAGCTGTATGTAAACAGGAACATATCAAGCAGAAAAGAGACTTTTAGATGCATTTTTGCTGCTTTAGTGACAACTCAAAACATCTTCACACTTGTTCCATTACAAAAATTATAAAAACATGACTCTGAAATAATACTTTTGATGGCAATTTGTTGGCAATTTATTCACAGATAGAAAATTTAACTTTCTTCTATTCCATCAACCAAAACGTCAAACAACAACAACACAAAGATCAATAAAACTATAGATGTATAAAATAGAATGAAGCATGTGAATGTGTGAATGTCAGTGTGCGAGTGAGTGTCTGTGTGAGTGTGTCTGTGTGTGTGAATGTCAGTGTGCGTGAGTGTCTGTGTGCGTGATGTGAGTGAGTGGTGGTGGTGTGTGTGTTCGTGAGTGTGTGTATGAGTGAGTTTATCTGCTTTTTCAGTCCTCCCAGTAGTTCAGCTTTGAGTTGTAGAGGTTGAAACACTGTGTGCAACGGAACACGACACGCTGTGTACATTTGTAGTTCTCCCTCCGTGAAGAAGAGCTCCAGAAAGTCTGGATCAGATGAATCCAGCTCCAGAAAGTCAGCTGGATCAGATGAATCCAGCTCCAGAAAGTCTGGATCAGATGAATCCAGCTCCAGAAAGTAAGCTGGATCAGATGAATCCAGCTCCAGAAATTATGGATCAGATGAATCCAGCTTCGCAGCCTCTGTCCGCAGTCTCTGAGGTCCAGGAGCTCCTGTGAAGGGACTGACTCGGCTCCCACTGATCCTCCTGTCAACCATCTTCCCCAGAGCTTCTGGGTGACGAACGTGCTGGAAATTGGATACACACAATAAATATATTATACAGTGAATTTGTTACAATAAATCAATACATAAAATACAATGAAGGCCTTCCTCCCACATTATTGACTGACTACTTTTGGACCAAACACAGTATACTATATTATTATTATTATATTATATTGCCATGGGATGTACAAGAATAGAAATAGTAGTTCTTTTACCTTTTTTGTGCACAGCAACTGCCTCTTGATGCACCACCTGTAAATAATATACATTTGTAAATCACTATACCAGGAGAATATATACAATAATATGTACAATGGTATGAGGAGGAATTATCTTTACCTCCATGCCCTGTCAACCCCAATGGGGGAGGGCTCTTTTATCAGAATCTGTGAATGAACACATTTCATTTAGTCAGAGCTATGACACTACAACAAGATGTTCAAGCATGAAATAACTAAACATAAAAATAATAAATACAACAATGATAAAACGCATAACTGGCATTTACTAAAGAAACAGTAGGATTTGAGCGCTGTGTTACTTAGCAGATCAAAGCAAGTTTCCGCGCCTTTCCCTCCTCTCAAGTTAGCATATTCTAGGCAATTCAGCAAGTTCTTACCTTCGACTCTTTGTGGAGCTTCTGGAGAGGATGCTCTGCTGGATTGAGACTGCAACCACTCATCCGATAAATCATGATCAGGTTCTGCTGAACGAATCCGAGGCATCAGTAACAACAGCAGCTGATACGCTGCGAGAGGCGGAAGGTGTGTCCCTGCTCCGGGCTCTTGCTCCGCGCAAATGTGGCTGCAGAGACGGACCTCCACCGGGGTCTCCACTCTCTCCCCTCTCGACCTCACTCACTGATCCGCGAGTCAATCTCTGAAGCAGTGTACACTGCTTATAACTATTCTTTTTCGCCATCACTCTTGCTATACTATCGCTAAACTAGATCGCTGATCCGTCTCAATGCTACGCTATCATCGCTCGCTCTGCTACAGCACCACGCTCTCCAAACACTCCCACACTCCTCCTCCTTCTCTCCACTGACTTATGACCTCTCCTGTGGCGCAATACTGCATCCTACTGGTGTTGATTTATCATTACAGGTACATTTGCACTATATATCAGTATTGTGGGTCATTCACAAGGTGCGCCAGACATTACTGCAGCCTCCCGTGTAATAACACAAAAAACTCGTCAAACTCGTCATGGGCAGTGAGCGTTACTATTCAACATGACGAGTTTTGTCGTCATGGGCAGTGAATGAGTTAATGGTAGGGGTCACATGTGTCGCGTTGTAACGTTGGACTGCCCCCTACTGGTCGGGCGCTAGAACTACATCATTTCCTGTCGCTGTGTAGACTCTTTGCACTTCAAATCCGGAGCGGGAGTCGTCTTTGCAAATTGCTTCTTAGCGTCTCCATGGAAACAGGGCCTTAAACAGTCGATCTAAAGCTGTGACATAGGCCCAAAATATATGCATGTGAAAACTTGTGATAATAATACTCATACTACGAGTGATAATACTTTTTGAGACACTATAGATTTTATAACAGATCATTTTATGTAGTTTCAAAATGCTTGAGCTATGAGAGGATACAAGCATTCCTCATTGTTATTCTATGTTTGTATCTGTGTTTATGAATGTATTTTTGTGAGCTCTTTTCAGACCTATTTTGCTCGGTGGTGCTGAGTGCAAAAGACCAGTTGGACACTCAGCTCTAGGGCGCGAATGTAAATGAGCCCGCATCAATACACTTAACATAAATAATGCATTCAGAGCACAAAAGGAGATGATTGTTGTGGTGAAAGGCCAATGAAAACAGGCCATTTTAAATGTAATATATTGACCCCCGTTCTATTATGCAGTGAGATCATCTCAGGCGATTTGAGAGTTTGAGAGACTTTTGAAATGAGAGCGTTTGATACGTTTAGAAATTGAATATTACCTATTGTTTGTTTTTAGCATAGAAAAAAAAATTCAATTGGGAGCTACACTGTCCAAATAACTTCAAATTGACCAAATACTATCGTTTCCCGGACACTTAAAAGGAAACTTCATAAGATTAATATAAACTCTAACATAAATTTTTTCTTTATCACAAAATAGAAAATTATGTTCCTATAAAAAAAAAAATGCATATTTCAGCTATAGTCTCTCCGTGAAAAACTTGATTCTTTAAAATATATACTTGAAAATGTTCTACTTTTCTGAGATTTCAAGAGTATTTGAAGTTGAAGTGAATGGACAATATTCTAATTTGTGAGTTTGACTTTTCGTTAGTGGAATGTGATCCTTATTCGTTGCCACTGGATTATTAAATGTTATATGCTAATGGTACAATAATCACTGGTTAGTTGTCTTTGATGTGATTTCATGGTGTTGCGTGGTGAGGTAGAGCCTGGCGCGGGTGCAGATGGTGGATGGATATTGGCCTCAGTCTGAAACCTCTGTGGAATCAGGATTACAAAGAAGACAGAAAAATCAGTCGCGTTTTATCCAGAAAGACATTGCAAGTTTGTATGTATAGCACAGTTCATACACCAGGCATTAAAATCACACAAGGACAAAACCCTAAATAATCGCAGTACATTGGAAATCGTTCAGTTGTATGCACAGCTATACAGAACTGTTTTAACCTGGATTTGATGACTGTCGAGTCAAAGCCTGTCTCACATTTTCAGGAAGACTGTTCCAGATTACAGCTGACTGAATATATCTGATCTATTTGCTAAACAACTCTAAAAAAATGGCCCGGCAATGTAACAAATATTCTATCCATGTTAAATGTCTGAGAAAGCCATATTTCCTCTGATCTGTGAGAGACCGAGAGAGCGCTGTGGTTCTCTTGGACAAACTGTTGTGTCCTTAGGCAAGACGTTTCATCCATTGAATAATATTAGTGCAATGTGAAGATGGTCGAGATTGAGGGGCTGATTGAGGGGCTGATAGAGGGGCTGATGCCACATATCGACAGTCAAGGCAATAGCCTGTAATAGAATCTTAGCACCACAAAGCATGAAACAAACGCACAAAATAATAAAGAAAAAATATGATCGGAATATTTCTCTTGAGAAGTAGAAGTTCTTTGAATGTATGTAATAATTTGTTGTGGTGTTTAGTGTCTACTGAGCAATCACTATAATGTGGAGTGATACTTGAATACATTTTTACAGAATCTGTTGTATTTATTCATTTTATTGGGTGAATATAATAAGTGGCTCATTGCTCATTTGTATCGTGTGAAGAGCCTGTCCCAGTTCACTGTTGTTTGTGTTGCTTTTGCCCAGCGGTGGTTCTCTGCGTGTCTCTAAACCACTTCACCTCCTGGACCTCTGGACCACCTCCCGCGGTGGGTTGCCAGCTCCACACTGCCCCCCACAGATGCTGGTTGCCAGATTGAACAGACCATTGCTGCGCGGAGGGGGTCTGAGGCACTGCCGATGGCCCGGTGCCACGCTGGGGCCTGTTATTACCTCCAGATGACATCAGCCTGTGCGGCAGATGCTGCTTGGCCACAGGCTCCAGAGAGAGAGCGTCTCTGGTGAGTGTGCGGCTGCAAAAACATGCCAAAGTGAACATGTCTGATGAATACTAACTTCAAACGTGTGAATGTCTCTTTTGATGATTTACGGCCAGAGGCATGAGCATGACCATTCACACGGCAAAAAACATTACAGAATCAAATGGAATCGTAGTCTGAATTTGTAGTTTTGTCCAAAACATATTACTGTACTGTAGATCAGCCGTTTCCAAATTCTTTAGCATGGATCAGAAAATCACTCAGGCCCACAGTGAGAAGAATCACAATCAATCCTGAAGAATGTTTTTTTTTTATATATATATATACAGTGGGGAGAACAAGTATTTGATACACTGCTGATTTTTCAGGTTTATCCACTTGCAAAGCAAGTAGAAGTCTGTAATTTCTATCATAGGTACTCTTCAACTGTGAGTGATGGAATATAAAACAAAAAATCAGAAAATCACAGTAGATGATTTGTAAATAATTAATTTGTATTTTATTGCATGAAATAAGTATTTGATCATCTACCAACCAGTAAGAAGTTTGGCTCTCACAGACCTGCTACTTCTTCTTTAAGAAGCCCCCCTGTTCTCCACTCATTACCTGTATTAATGGCACCTGTTTGAACTTGTTATCTGTATAAAAGACACCTGTTCACACTCTCAATAAGTCAGACTCAAAATCCACTATGGCCAAGACCAGAGAGCTGTGTAAGGAGGTCAGAGATAAAATTGTAGACCTGCACAATGCTGGAATGGGCTACAGGACAATAGGCAAGCAGCTTGGTGAGAAGGCAACAACTGGAAGAAATTTAAGACAACGGTCAATCTCCCTCGGTCTGGGGTGCCATGCAAGACCTCACCTCGCGGGGCATCAATGATCATGAGAAAGGTGAGAAATGAGCCCAGAACTACACGGCAGTACCTGGTCAATGACCTGAATAGAGCTGGGACCACAGTCTCAAAGAAAACCATTAGTAACGCACTACGCCGTCAAGGATTAAAATCCTGCAGTGCACGCAAGGTGCCCTTGCTCAAGCCAAAGCATGTCCAGGCCCGTCTGAAATTTGCCAATGACCATCTGGATGATCCAGAGGAGGAATGGGAGAAGGTCATGTGGTCTGATAAGACAAAAATAGAACTTTTTGGTTTAAACTCCACTTGTTGTGTTTGGAGGAAGAAGAATGATGAGTACAACCCCAAGAACACGATCCCAACCGTGAAGCATGGCGGTGGAAACATCATTCTTTGGGGATGCTTTTCTGCAAAGGGGACAGGGCGACTGCACCGTGTTGAGGGAAGGATGGATGGGGCCATGTATTGTGAGATCTTGGCCAACAACCTCCTCCCCTCAGTAAGAGTACTGACGATGGGTCGTGGCTGGGTCTTCCAGCATGACAACGACCAAAACACACAGCCAGGGCAACCAAGGAGTGGCTCCGTAAGAAACATCTCAAGGTCCTGGAGTGGCCTAGCCAGTCTCCAGACCTGAATCCAATTGAAAATCTTTGGAGGGAGGTTAAAGTCCGTGTGGCCCAGCGACAGCCTCGAAACCTGAGGGCTCTAGAGGAGATCTGTTTGGAGGAGTGGGCCAAAATCCCTACTGCAGTGTGTGCAAACCTGGTCAAGAACACAGGAAACGTCTGATCTCTGTAATTGCAAACAAAGGTTTCAGCACCAAATATTAAGTTCTGTTTTTCTGATGTATCAAATACTTATTTCATGCAATAAAATGGAAATTAATTATTAAAAAATCATCTATTGTGATTTTCTGGATTTTGGTTTTATATTCCATCACTCACAGTTGAAGAGTACCTATGATAGAAATTACAGACTTCTACATGCTTTGCAAGTGGGAAAATCTGAAAAATCAGCAGTGTATCAAATACTTGTTCTCCCCACTGTATATATATATAAACTAAAATCAACATACATTTTAACGATTTAAATTGGAAAAAAATCCGTATTCACGAAAACCTTTTACCAAAATGAGTTTGATGTAATTCTCAAATGCTTGTTGTGTGGCATTCTTTGTGGGGCCCCCCTGAAGAGCCTTGGAGGACCCCTGGTGGGCCCTGGATCGCAGCTCGGGAAACACTGCTGTGGATGTATGAATATATCAGGAAACAGGGAATCTTTTTTCATATTGTGCTATTTACTCACTTAAGTATTTTTTTATGGCTGATAGCTCAAAATCCATAGAAATTATACTGATTAAGCATGGTTTTACTAAAAAACTCTAGCTGGCAGCGTCAAAACTAAGCCTTGAGAGACTCGGCCGACTGCCAATATGATAAAAATATGCAAATATGACTCAGCCTATCTGCACAGTCGTTTCCATATCTTTTCTTTGCGTTACCTTTATATATTGAATCCACTTTTCACAGGCATACCATGAACGATACCATCCAACAGTAGCCGTAGCAAAGCAGTTGACAAATGGTAATGACATCAATGAAAGGTAAATGGTCAGTAATGCAGCAAATCTAAAATGTCTGTATATATATGGAACGCTAATGTCCTTCATGTAAGTAGCCGCTTTTATCACACCCTATTCTCACATTATCCTTACCTCATTTGCCGCTGAATCACTGTGAGCGATCCCAACGTGGCCATTTCCCTCCACACCGTAATCGCGCACACCGGAGCTTTTAATAATAACCACCTTTATCCGTCCGCTTCGGAGGGGAAATAAACACGCAAGGAATGACATGCTAATAAGCTCCGTGGACCATTATACTGCGGCTAATTGACAGCAACAATCAGAGAGGAATTTAATGCGTCAGCCGTCCCCACGCAAGCACAGAGCTCACTGGAAGCTAATGCCGCGAGATGAAGCCGTTAATGATCACATTTATCTGGGTCACCTGCCTCTTGCGTGTGCGTGTGTGTGTTTTCTTAGAGACGAGCTGAAGAGGCAGGAGATTACACGGGATAGATGAAAGCGCGAGCTGGTCCTCTGGTTCATGTGCCATCCCCATCGTCGCCATTTTGCCTTCTATCTGTTTGACCACGCATCCTGTTTCTACAGTTAATTATGGCCCTTCCAGTCTAGCTACATTATATCTAAACCTGTGTGTGTTAGTGTGCGTGTGTGTGTATGTGCGTGCGTAGGCGGTTTGGTGCGATCATATTTTCATGAGCAACATGTTAATAATACAAACAGATTTCAAATGCGCCTTTCAAAGCTCCTCAAAAGAACATTATTCATTCATTCCCTGCGTGGTGCTACTTCTATTGACAAAGCCAATCTGCTCCTGGCTTTTTTCTTTTTCTTTTACGTGGAGCTTTTCTAAGTCTGAAGTGATTTGACGTTTATGCAAAATTTGTTTCGCCTCGCCGTTGGGGATCAGGATGACAAAGTACTTGTGAGTTCAAAAAATAAAAACTCACAAGTTTGTAATAAATGTATGGTTTAGCGCCCTCTGCGATCCTGGTGTTTATATTGTGATTTTGTCTTTGGAAAATCCAGGTATGAGTCCCAACAACTGACCAATCAGGAGCCTTCTGTCACCGAATTTGGCTTTAGCGAGCGAGTAGCATGAGTGGGATCAGACCAGCGCCGCTTCTGATTGGTGCTTGGTAACTCGGTCGTTGCTACGAAAAAAAATGGCATAGATTTGGCTCAACATTCCCGAGTTTGAGTTAGCTCTAACCAGCATCCTCCACACTAAGGCAACAACTATGGGTTGCCGTCAGTCACTCTTGTTTTTAACTTTTGCCAAATTGTCTAAGCAGGAACGCAGTTAGATCATCTACAACAGTGGTCTCCAACCTGTAGCTCGGGAGCTACCAGTAGCTCGCCACCCACTTCCAGGTAGCTTGCCAAAGGATTTAGAAATGAAAAAATTAAATGATATACTTCATATTTCAGATTGTATTATTCAAAATCATTATTTGGGCGGCACGGTGGCTGGGTGGATAGCACTCTCGCCTCTCAGCAAGAAGGTACTAGGTTCGAATCCCGGTTGGAACAGGGCCTTTCTGAGTGGAGTTTGCATGTTCTCCCCGTGTCTGCGTAGATTTCCTCCAGGTACTCCGGTTTCCCCTACCACTAAAAACATGTACAATAGGTCTGGCATGCGCCTCCTGTACTGGCGACCCCGCTCCCATCTCTGTGAGGAGTGAGAGACAAGTGCCCAAAAATAATAACAATTGTAAACCGCTTTGTGACTCTGGTCTGTGAAAGGCGGTATATAAATATAGATGACTGAGTTACTTTGTGCACAAGTAACAAATATGTGATGATAAATAATGACTGTAGCCAAGATCAGGCTTGTTCACACAAATATATCACAATTTTTTTTTCCAGGGCCACTTAAAGGAGTAGCCGTAGATCTTAATCATCCCAGGAAAGTAGGTCTCTGGGTGATAAAGGTTGGAGACACCTGATCTACAATAATAGATTTATTTTAAAAAATGTGGGAAAGTCAGTGAAGAAGAGGGGGGAAAATGGATAGTTGAAGCAATGGTGCCTTGAATGAAGAAGGCACCGTTGTTGGAATAAGAACAGGGCTGATTGTTGTGTATTCAGTGATTGGAGGTGAATCATGAGGAAAAGGGACACTCTGGAGAGGAGGGGGCCTTTCTCTGTCCCCTGCAGTCCCGCGCGCTCTCCTGCTTTTTCTGCTTTTATTCTTGTGTCGCAGAGATGTGTCCTTTTTCGCGGCAAAAGTGCAGACATATATATTTTAACATGTGCGTCCTTGTTTTGTGTTTTCAACAAGAAAGGAGGGGGCTCTTTCCGCTCGCCTGTTTAGCTGTCAATCAAACGCCGATTTGGACTCAAACACCACTTCACTTTGTTTTAGACCGGAATTACAGGTAAAAACAAAGAAAAATGTGCGTTTTATCAATTACCCAAGACTGTGCGGACACTACCTAAGGATCATACTGGTTTTTACTGCCTTTTATTATTTCATTGATGCTACAAAACAAAACCAATACAGACATTTCAAAAGTAGATGCAGGCCCCGTACTTCCCTCAGTAGCAGCTTTTCACAGATATTTATATTAAAATGTGCAGCTAACCCTCTCATTATTGAATTACAAAAACTATTTGACACATCGCCACGGTCTTCAGTACCGTCACTATCACAGGCTCATCCCTCCAGTCTATTAAAGTCCATCCCAGCTCCCTCCACTTTAATGGAAAAGGAGAGGAGCTGCACGAGGAAATGATATTTGTAATCAGACGAAGGCAAAGGGGCTCTTTATTAAAGTGGGGGTGGGTTCCCGGGCTCTGGGTTCACGCGCCGACAGGGTTCATAATGGCCTCTGTCTGGTGTCATCATATAAAACCTGACTTATTCCCCCCATTCTCCCTCCTCCTCTTTCACTGCACAAGTCCCCCAGGATCTACCTTGCCTGGCTTTCTTAGCAAAAATCACACTTGTGCAGTAAAGCCAAAAGATTAGCTTCATTTGGATTGAATTGGCAAACTGACACGCTGCAATTGGAAAGACTGCGTTTCTTGAATGACAGATCGGTTTACTGGCTTTTGAAATGCATGTGATTTTTTTCTATTGGTTTAGCGGTTTGTATTACATCTCTCCAATGCCCTTGCGCTGTCAGAAGATACAGAAAAGTTACATTGGCCTGAATGAGTCCGTGAAATGAGAGTAACACGACTATTATTAGGATTTTTTTTTCTATTTTTTCGTGAGAAATTGCTTTTCTATTGAAGTACCACAAGACATTTGGCAATTAATATTTATTTATTTACGTATTTATTTACCTGAGCAGAAGACTTCCTGCTCAAAAGGAGATGACTAAAGCCAAAGTTTGGGAAAATCTCCTCGTTTTTTTTATTCTACAACCTTCTATATTGCGTTTTCCATGGACGATCTTTGTGTGTTTTCCTCTCTGTCTGCTTCTGTCGTCTCTCCTGAAGCAAAAATCCTACACTTCGGAACTGTAGTATTTTACGGAACAAGTTCTTACTGCTCTATCGCTAATGACAAAGCGGGACTTTCGGGGTGTGCTTTTAAGGCTTGCGTGTGATTGGTCAAACTACAAGGCAAAGCAGATGCACAAAAGAAATGGGTGATTATCAGTTATTAAAGTTATAATTGCTGTATGGATATGGTACTTGTAAGTCAGTAAGTAATGGTTATTTATATAGCACATTTTACAGACCAAGGTCATCCAAAGCGCTTTACAATGTTATATAGGAGGTTTTTCCCAAATTTTAGAAAAGAACCGCCCTCTCCACTTTTTGATGAAAACTCTCTGGTCTTATTTGACGATCATGTATCACCAGAATGATTGACAATTAGGAGGACCAATAGTCTTGATGATCCACCCGGAAGTAGAAAATCCTCCTATATACCTATATTATCACAATGACAATATTTTCCTGGATAAGGTGCAGCCTTAGAGACTACTACGCCAGTTTTGCCTTAAGACAAGATAAAAAAACGTCATATCTGGATACAAATATTGGACTGATAATTGCAACATGTATTAAACCGGCGGGCTCTATGTCATTATCTTTAAAACATCTTGAATCCCCTCAGCAGCCAAGAAATATTCTAATCTATCAAAACCAATGGCTTGAAACATTCCCAAATATTTGTCACATTAATTTTTTTCGGATTTTGCTTCTTTTCTTTGCTCTTTTGTATCGGCGTCTTTTGTTCCCGGTCTGTGGGTGTCTCCGCTTTTGAACATATTTAATTCCTGTGGGTTTTCTGCCAGTTCGCTCATAAAAGCAGTAATGTGGTGATCTCATTCAGTGTGGCAGGTGGAGGATGAGTCAAAGCCAATGGACGCCACACCGATATCACATTGTAAAGGCTTTAGTTCTGTGTTCTGCAGAACACAATGTTATTCACAATGACAAAACCATGTTCATATACATTTAAACTAAGAACACATGCAAGTCATGTGGAGACTAAAGGCTGAATATATTTTTATCTTTTTGAAAATTACAGCATTGAGCAACATCACCTTTTAAAGACATTTTTGTTTTTGCACACATGTATTCTCCTCCTCTGTGCGTGTGTGCGTGTACGTGTGTGCGTGTGCGTGTGTGTGTGTGCGTGCGTGCGCGTGTGTGCGTGCGTGTGTGTGTGTGTGTCTCGAGGCAAATGGGTGTCTATGTTGATTTATGTTTATGTATGCATTTTTCTCTTGTTTATTATCAGTATTGTTATTATTATTATTATTATTATTGGCAGTTAATATATTGTATTATTATATCTGCTTTTTTCTTTTTTTTATTCTAGTTTTGTCCATATAGTCTTTTCCTTTGCATATAATTCCATTGCCTTGTTATGTTTTTGAATGATGAAACTTTGACCAATCGAACTCTAAAAGGCAAAAACTCAAACACAAAGAAAATAGAAGAAAAAAAAGACATTTTTCTGATGATTTGATCTTTTCATCTGTATTTCCTTTGTTGCTTTGATTTTCATGTTGTGGAGGCATTTTGGCACAAATGAATCACACACGGCTACAATTGTGATGTTTTAATTCACTTAAAGTAAAATCGTAGTGAATGAAGAGTAAGTCTGATGAGAAATGTCAAAAGACTTACATATCAAATATACTAAAATCAGCCAGATAAATACTGTATGTGAATGGATTCATCTGAAAGTCTGATCTGCTCCAAA